TTGTTGTTAGATTAGTTCACTGCTTCATAGCAGGACCTCATACACAAAATAAAACTGTTGAAAAGATTTGTCGAGGTTCCACATTGCTGGCTGGATGCTGCCTTGAAGGACATGGTTTTGATTGTAGGAAAACTACCAATAAAAAGCACACAAGTGGTTCCAGTTAAGAGCTGTTCGCTTGGATGTGGCTTAACCCCAATGAAAGGACATGATTTAATTACTCTGCAGCTTTAATGCGCCTGATGTTGCTTTAGAAAGCATAGTATATAATCTTTTTTTGAACCGACTGTGATTCATCTTTGTAAAAAAAAAAAAAAAAAAACATGTTATAGAAAGAACATTTCCCCCCACTAATGATTAAGCAATGGAAAAGGACTCGTTGGAATTATCATCACATATTAAATGAGTTCTTTACACACTGTCAGCGCTGTAAAGCAAAGTAAAGTGAAGTTTGTGTACTTTGCACTGAGTGGCATTATTCATTTGGACTGTTAATCTTTCTTTAAAAACACATTTGGGTTGAGGCAAGAGCAAAAGATGTTATCCTGTTTCCCCTTTTATTTCCTATCAACACTGTGTGTTGTCTAATACTGAAGTTCCCAACCTCATTGGCTTGTGACCCCTTAAACTGAAGCAAGACTTACCAGGGACTCAACGCATGTGTCTACCAGTTGTGACCATTTCAACCAAAGATTGCGCTTTTTTCCTTGTTTTATTTGAATACCTTTCAGAGGCTTGAAGAGATTAAAAAATATCAAGTAGTTCACAAGGAACAGAACAAAAAAGTGATTAAAGTCTGAAAAAATAAACACATTTGTGTCACATATAGAAATTTTTTTCTGTTGTCCTCTCCTGTCTCTTGGACTTTCAGATTTATCCTGCAGCCTCTTGTGGGGGTCTGGATCCCAAAGTTGGAAACTGGTCTAACAGAATGCAATATTAACATATCTTTTAGATTTTTCTAACTGAAATGTAATGCATGCATTTCGAGTAGTACGTTATAATAAATAGTTTTAACTGGACCATAAATACCAACACTACCCCATTTGTTTTCTAGATATAATCATGTCTTTAAAGCTTAGAATTACTGCACAGGTTTTGCTCCTCTAGTTTTCTATTGGCTTTTAATAACCAAAAAACATAAACATCTCTGCATCAAACGTGTTTCCATTATCAGAACAACCACAGTCTTTGTCATGTTCAGATATAGAACTCGTATCTGTGTCTGAGTGTGAGAAGCTTGCCTCCTGGGGTCACAGCAGCGACGCATCTTTTTGTTTTCTGTGTGGGCTGCTTATCTTCTATCTGCTCATGTTTCCTTATTTGGCCTTTCCTGCCAACAGATGATGTCTAATGTCACGACAGTCATTAGAGCACAAGATAAAAGATGATGAGAAAGGATGCACAAGGTGTGTCTGTAAGTCACAAAAAAAAACCCAGAAAAAACTGGTCTGGTAAGGCAGAGTGGTGTGATCTTGAAATACAACTCTGATCTGACAAGAATAATCAAACTGTTCATAGCAAAAAAAGAGAGAGTAGAGAGAGAGAGAGAGAGAGAGAGAGAGAGAGAGAGAGAAAGTGAGAGAGACAGACAGATACAAAGAGAGAGAGAGTGTTTGTAGGTCAGAGTGCCTCAAAGTATTTCAAGAAGAGAAGGCATGGGTAGAGAGAGTGTGTTCATTTCTGGATTTGTTTTGTGTATCTGTCTGTGAGAGAGACAGACAGGCTGAACACAGCTTATTGCCTGAGGTGAACCTGTGAACCCATGTGATGAATGTGTGTAACTATCAGCACAGATATTCATCGGAAACTGTTCAGATCAGAGTGCGGCGAGCTCATGAGGCAGTGGCCCGCATAGAGAGGTGCTGTCTCTCTGGAAAAACAGCTGTCTATATTTAATCAAGGCGAATAAACAAGGAGTTTAAACAACTCATTTATAATTTAGATTTGCATACATTAAAACTGCTCATTTTAATCTTTTTATTAATATGCATCAACGATATTGTATAAATATGCAGTTTTATGCAAATACCAGGCCCATTTTCTGTTTGTATTTAATTCTGTTCCCCAGCTGTGGATCATCATTTTCATTCAAGGCAACCGACTCAGATTAAGTCAAATATTAAGTCACTGCATGGGAGTGTATAAATATTTCTCAATTAAAAACTCTGAAGAACAGCTATGCTACTGTATCAGCATTAAAAATGCATTGGCATGGGGAGGAAAATAGGGGAAGTTTGAGTTTGATAAGACATCAGAACTTTAAGTCTACATCTTTGAACTATGTTTTTTTTTTCTTCTTTCCCTCCTCCAATCAAGTAGTTGCAATAGCTAGCACTTTTTTGCTGTTTTGGAGACTGTTACAAAATCTGGGGGATGTAAGGACCAGCCAAAAACATGCTGTGCCTCCGTTATTGATGAGCCTGCCGTGCCTTCTGATGTTTTTCACAGAATGTCCTACATTTTGCTGTTTCTTGCCTGAGCTGCCATTTTTCTGTCGATGCAAATGAGGAGTTTTGTTCCAAAATGTGAAAATTACCGACTGAACAGTGTGACAACAGCCACTACAAAAGGACTGCTGGGATAGAAGTAAAGCCTACAATGTTTAATTCCCAAAGTTATCAACTAACTTGAAAGACAAAACATTTTAAACAATGAAAATACAGCTATCTTTTGCTTGATAGACCTGTATAATTGTTAGGAATTACTAAATGGACATCCTTTGGGATGAGTGCTCATGACTACGTACATATTTTATGTAAACCAGTCACAAGTAAGAGAGGGTGGGGTTTCAGGTAAAAGAGGCAGCTGATAGGATCCCCTGTCTCTGTCATCAGGCTGCCATCTCTTTGGTAAAGCACAGTACACAAAAGTGAAAGTAATTTTGTGTGTGTGTGTGTGTGTGTGTGTGTGTGTGTGTGTGTGTGTGTGTGTGTGTGTGTGTGTGTGTGTGTGTGTGTGTGTGTGTGTTTTGAGTTCATTTTCATCAATGTTGTCAACAGCTGACAACATTTGATTTGGAGGTGAATACACATAACATAGATTTACAATGTATTGTCCCACATGTTCATTTATTCTTTCATTCATTTAAATAATTCATTTATGTAATTAGGGCTGCAACTAACTTTTTTTTCATTTTCTCTGTCAATTATATTTTTGAATAAACTTCAAACATTTGGTCTTTACAATATCATAAAACAGTATTAGTTACCCATCACTAGCTCAAGTTGACATCAACAGAAAAATCCCAAAATATCCAATTTACAATAATGTAAGACAAGAAAAAGCAACAAATTCTCACATTTGAGAGGCTGAAACCATCAAATGTTTGGCTGATTAATGAATTATCAAAATAGTTGCAGATTAACTTTCAACTAATGGTTGCTCACTATTTAATGTTAATGTATGTGTGCAGATAATATTCCACACCCACACTTGTATAAAAAAGTATAGGTATTTGGGATGAAGGACATGAAGATCATGAAGTTTGTTTTAAAAAAAAAATCTATTCAATGTTTATTTTATAGGGACAAGCATGGATCACATGCCACTGTTTTCATACCCTGTTTGCAAAGCCTGTCCCTAGATGAGCCTCACTTAGGAACCTCCTCTGATAAAAAAAAAAAAAACTAGCCTACTACTATTTGTAAATTTCATGATTCCACTCTGGATAATCTTTTGACTTTAAGTATTATACTTTCAATTAAAATCCTGCTAAATCTGCAATAGCATCACCAAAACTGAAGTTCCGTTGGATAAAAATGCAGGGAAACCTCAAAAAGAAGCTCTGTAAAGAGCGACATAGAAGATAATGAACTGGCTCCACATTAGAGAAGAAAATCCTTTTCCCCACATTTGAATATAAAAATGACTTTTAGCTCCTCATTGTGGATCATTATCATTTGGAGATAATTTGGTTTTAAACCAGTTGATGACAAAAAAAGTGCAGATTCTGTGTAAACTTTGATTTAGGATTAAGGCTGAGCTGCAAACTAATGAGGTAGTGATTATCATTTCAATATTGTAAATAGAAAATAAAATCTGAGTAAAAGGAAATGAATGAAAAACTAACTCTGGCAGGAGCTTCTTTAAGAAATAATCTGTATTCATTTATTTTATTTAAGCAATATCACACTGTAAAACACATCACTAGTAAAAGATATAAAATTTTGCCTCTTAAATAAAAAATATAACCTAGCAACACCAGCACAACATAGCTTATTAAATGCATAAAAATGGCCCCTGTGAGTGTTATAATGTATTTTGTTATGATTTAATGTGTACGTAGCATTATACTGCTAATTTTCATTATTTTTTTATCTGTTGGGTAGTTTTAATCATTAACAATGAATCATATTTTATTAGCAATCATAATCTTCTTTAAATGCAAAAAGTAACTCTATCTTTCAGATAGGCTAAATGTAATGGAGTAGTAGTATAATGTAGCATGAAGCAGAAATGTTAAAATAAAGTACCTAAAATATGTATTTCAGTACAGTACTTGAGTAAATGTACTTAGTTACATTCCACCATTGGAAATAATGAAAAAAAGGGTTCAGATGCAAAATAAAATGATTATGTTTCCTGAAACCATAACACACGATGAGTAATCCTGACCAAAATAGCCTACTGAACAAAAGTATCAGGATGAACATTTTTTGCCTGCAGCCACTGTATCTACACAACCTCAGTGTTTCCCTCGGAGAAACATTTGTTTTTCTTAAGTGAAGGTTTGGTGGCAAAATGCAGCAGCAGACTCCTGCAGCCAGGGGACCGTGGATGGTGTGAACACGCCCCTGGAAGTCATGAATAATGCCCGTTCAGCTGAGCTCAGGGAGGTGATGTCTCTTTAAGAGCCTCAGCCTCTGCCGAAACAATCGTACAACCCCCCAACAAGTCATCGGACCTGTCAATCATCCGGTCGGCGCCCTTTGATGCCTAGTGTCTTGGGCTCAAATGAGCTGTTTGCTGTTGTAGGGAAACATTAGTCCTCTACCGACCAACCAGCCGGGGGACGCCACATCTCAACTTTTTTTCTGTATGCGGTGGGGGTTTCTGCACTTTGGAGGCGCCCCAGACTGAGGAGATTTAACGCAAAAGTCCCCTGATTCTTTTCTTTATTTATACTTTCTTGTTATTGTTATTTTGTCCTCTTTTTTTTTAAAAAAAAAGTGTGAAATATCGCAAGGGGGGACGTAGACATGCCTCAGCTCAGCAGCGGCGGCGGGGACGACCTGGGAGCGAATGATGAGATGATATCGTTCAAAGACGAAGGAGAGCAAGAGGAGAAAATCCAAGAAAATGCGTTCACGGAGAGAGACCTGGCCGACCTCAAGTCCTCTCTGGTGAACGAGTCGGAAATAAATCAAAGTCCGAGCGCAGCGGTAGGTGGCACAGAGTGTGTGTGAGTGCATATATACACACACAGAAAGAGAGGGAGAGTGTGTGTGTGAAGTATGTATGAAAGCTTGTTTTATTTTACACGCTGCTGACAAGCGTTGAATGAGGCCAAAATGAATTGCCTTCAGGGTTACAGTAGTGAAATTCCCAGGCTGCCAGAGGTTTACTAGCCAACAGGACAGGGATGCTATCGCCTATCAGAGGTGAACAAAAAGAAACACAACATAAACTAGGCCTATGATAGAGTCACCCTCACTCTCTGGCACTCCATAGCACTTGTGTGGTTGTTTTAATTCGGGGCAAATCGCCTTTTTCTTTACTTTTTTCTTGGATTCTCTGAGCCTGTATTTGTTGTCGGTCCCTTCCAGGCGGTCAGACGGGGACAGCAAGGCGAGCAGAGGGGCTTCGCAGAGAAACACCGGGAGCACCTTGACGGTGGTAAGAACAAGAAAACTAAAAACACAAACACAACTCGCTCTCATCCGGTTTGAGTAGCCACTATACTATCTGAGGAAACGGCTGAGAAGCGATGAACCCCCCCCCACCCCCCACCCACCCCAGATACACTGTGTCAAAGTAAAGAGTATTTTGGTCATGGGGACACGTGTTGCTGCATTAAAACTACCTTCAAGGAGTTTGTTTTCAGGTGTACACTGCAAACCGCCACAGTCGTCAGCTCTCTACATTATCTCTCAAATCTATCACTTGGTGATGAGATTTCCTCTGTCTCTGTTTCAAAGTAGCTCGACTCAAGAGAGATTGACGTAGAAATGATCTGCTTTAAATGTGTTTAAAAGTTATTTATTGAAACATGGACTCTGGCTGAGATAATTACCCTCTTCAGCAGTACATAGCAAATATTTTAAGATGTCTTTATACTGACAGCGTGATCTTCCCTACGTTCATGTATTTCAACACCCTTTAGATTTACAGGCTTTTTGAGAGTCAACCCTTGACATTTTTTGCAGTGTAGCTCTTGCCAGACTTTGCCAAAAGTGGTGTCAGCCAGGTTCCTTGAGAGATTTATTTTAGCTTTTTTTCTCTTTAAGGATACCACCCAAAAGAACAGAGCGATTCCACTTTAGCTCCCATACATGGCAGTTTTAATTACAGGCCTCACTGTAGGCTGTAGTAAGTTAAAGAACTAATTTCAGTCATTTCTAAATGGAAAAATCTTCCCACATTGTTTCTTTGAGCAAAATCCTCAACATATGTGGATTTGTGGTTACAAATGCACCTATTTGACGGGGTCTTGAAGAAAAAGTGAAACTCACAGAAAAACATTTTGCACCACCCTGAATGATGGTGATTGCGTGATTGCATTATTTCATTCTCTGTAACACTGTTTCTGGCCACGTTTTTGGCACCTTCAGAAAAGCTCAGCAGTGACAGGTGATCAGACTGGAACAATAAAAAAAAAAAAAAGTTCAGTGTTTCTCTCTGTATCTCATACAGACCAGGTGTAATCTGGTTATAGCTGACCCTCTGATGCTTAATATGGGTGGTGGTGAGAGATAAATTAACACATAGGCAACAGGAGTTCACGCCTCTCAGGCTAGGTGACGCTTGTAACGCTTTTGTCTCAAGTATTGTAGTCTGTGCTCATACAAGGATATAACATGTAGTAACTAGAACACTTGTAAATAGTTGACCTACTTTGTATGCACGCTTATTTTGGATGTCAAGTTTTTCTTTTTGTTCTGAGACACACAGCTAAATCTTTTTTACAACATTGTAGGAGTAAGTATCAGATTTTATTTTATTTTAATTCTTTATATGTTTCTCTTACTCCCTATTTAACCGAAACCTGCCCCCTCAGAGACATTAGAAAATAAAGGAAAACTTGTACAAACTGAAAATTTAGATAGTCCCATTAAAAAAATATTGAAGTTTTTGAGTTTGTAACTCTTGTTTTTCTCTTTTTCGTGTCTGACCTCAGTGTCGAAGCAGCAAGATGGAGGCATGTACAAGACACCGGCGTATCCTGGGTATCCATTCCTGATGCTGCCTGACCCCTACCTCCCCAACAGCTCAGTTTCTCCATCTGTAAGTCGACTTCTGTTTGATTTTTTGATTTTTGATTTTTTGCTGGCTGCAGTGCACTGGTCACTGTTTTATCTCCAAATGGTTTCTTGTGTTAGTAGCTGTGGGCAGTCTGTGGTCCTTATCTGCTCTTGTGGATGTCCTACTTTAGACTGCAGTGCAGGTTTGTGCACTTCAGCTACTATTTGTATTCTCTGGTATCAAACACCGAACACATGGTTTTTTTTGTGCTTCAAGAAGGAAACAAGCTTCATTTGATGAACTTTTTTAATAATATTCAGTGTTGGCGGTGATGCTCTTGCCATAGTAGCTCACCACTGCTGAGGAAATAAGAAAGGCACATACATTCAGGGATGAAAATATCTTGAGCCAGAGTGTCCGTATAGTAGTAGTTTTTTATTTTTGCCTGAAGCAAATACCAGAATTCAGTAGTAAGAGAGATGGTGTGGACATGACGGGCGATAAAGTGGCTGTGATTTTTTTTCTGGTCTGTCTAGATAAAGGCATGAACATTTCCTCTGGGTATTTCTGCTTTTTCCTCATAATTTTTTTGTTCATATGATGTTGCAAATTTCTAAACTCACATCAGCTAAAAAATCAGCAAGATCCTCCTTATTAGATGCAATTGGCGTACAGTGGTCTCAACTATGGTCCCTCTAAGACTTAATTTCTCACAAAAATACCATTTGTACCCTTTTATACAAACAGTCTAATGATTCTTTTGTTGCTAATTAAGATTTGAGAGATAAGAGTGTTTTGAAATAGCAGTAGATTAATCTCAGTTACCTGTCTGCAAACAGGTACTATATGAATTTTTAAATATTGATAATAGTTAAGCTTTTTTTTTTTTTTTTTTTTTTTTTTTTTTTTTGCAATTGATATACCTCTGTCAATTTAGCCCAAGAAACACCTCCCTCACCTCTTCGCACCGCAAAGCAGAAACAATCAATTTATATATCTGTACAGTAAATCAACCTGCCGGTAGGTTAACACAGTGAAGGTTAATTTAGTTTCCAAAGAGGCTCCGTCAGTGTGAGATCACAGTCTCACTGCAAATCAGTCACAAACTTTACATATGTTCTAATTTGGCTTTGAACTGTGCTGTTTCCCCTCTAACTGCCTTATAAAATGAAGCGGTCTTAAAAACAGAGCGAAATGAAATCAAAGTGCCGCAGCCTCACGAGGGAAAAGCAGAAAAAGAGCTTGTTTTTGTTTACGCCTTTGCTGAAGTTGGAATATGATTGATGTCGTCATCATGAACCGTTTCACATGACGTGTTCCATCTGTTTGTACCCGGGTGAATGACAAGAGGTTTGTTGCTGCCTTAATAGCTGTTCTACGTGTTAAACCGCTAAAAGAAACATCAGAAAGACTCGTGGAAGGATTTCAAGTATGCAGTATCACTCATCCAGCCAGACAGCCCTAAAAAATTAATCATAAAATCCCTTCAAGTCACCCATAAGAACCAATATCCATGGATAGGCTGACTAATTGCACCAAACATGAGCGGTTGTGCCTAATTCATTTTTCACGTGCTGTGTAATCCTGTTGCCTGAATTAACCCCCTGCTCTAGTCGACAAGACGTTGCTAAACAGCAGAGACACCTGTTTGTGAGATCACATTTACTGTAGGCTGGTCTAATACGAGGCACAGTGAATGAGGAATCGGCTTTATGGCCAGAAAATGTGATTTTTTTTTTTTTTTTTTTTAATTAGTTACTAAATTTTTTCTAATGACACCTTGAAGTTTCTGAGCCATGTCTGCACCACTGTCTTCCTCAATGTCTGACCCAGCTGTTAGTCATGGGACGTTTTGAATGGGTCATTGAAGGGTCAAAAAAAAGAAGCTGATTGTTGTTACACTCTCCCAAATAAAATCATTCCCCTAAAAATAGCTCAAGCTCCACGGAATTTAAAAAAAAATAATTTTTGAGCTCTTGTCTTTTTCTGTGAATCCATTTCTCCACCAGAGGTTTGACTGGTTTATAAAGTAAAATAAAATGATATGAAATACAGCTTTCAAGTAAACAGAGGGAACCCTCTCTATGTCGATTCTCGATTGGACTATAAAATACTTTTACACTTGAATAATATATATGTTCTTCGTCTAGTTTAACTTTAAACCAGAAGCTTTGATCTTATGGAAAAAAATTGTCTTTTAAAGATGTTTTTAATTTCTATTGGAAAGAAAATCTGACAGAAAGCTAGCACTACTTGTTCGGGCCTCAGTTTTACACCTAAAAGCATGAACGATACACACACAGACAACAATTACGTTAGCGTCGTCCTTAAGTCTGTTACTCATAAACCTACACTGAGATAATTGAATGAACTACTAGTACGAGCGAGTGTACTCGTATTTCCTTAAACATCTTTATACTTGTCGTTGCATAACACAGTACATCCGGCATCGCGTTAGACAAACACGGTGAGCAAGTGTGATGGTATTTGTCGTTCATCAATGTGTCTCCACCTCTTTTATCTCTGTCTCACAATCTTCTCTTCTCTTCTTCTTTCTCTTCTCTTCTCTTCTCTTCTCTTCTCTTCTCTTCTCTTCTCTTCTCTTCTCTTCTCTTCTTTCTCTTCTCTTCCTCCAACCCTGGAGTGCCAACGCAAAGCCTCTCAGAGATTGTGTTTGTTGAGGGTGGGATGGGGGCTGGTGGTGGGTGGGGGGGTTAGTGGTGGCAAGATAAAGAGCACTTTCTTTCCCTGTGTGTCTTCGAGACTCCACACAATGCTCACTTGTTGCTGCTTCCCTTGTAATTAGCCCGCTGGTTGTGAAGCGGTAGCGACGTATCAGGCCCCGTCTACCTGCCACTTGAAAGGCCCGAGAATAGTGGTTAAGAAGTTTTGGGGATGGGTGGGGGGTGATTATGGATGGAAGAGATGGATCAGAAACTATAGGTCTGGGAGGCTGACAGAAAAAAAAGGGCGGTTTGGTGTTTTTCTAGTGTTGTGGTGTTAATATGGGACACGGCGACGCATGTTACATCTCGTGTCTGGCTGCTGTCCTTCAGTCTTGGCATAGTGACTTTGAAAGTTTCACAATTTGCAAGTAGTTTCTTATCACAGTGTTGGCATTTCTAGGAAGAAACCCTTTTATTATATTTTTTGAGTAATCATTTAGTTTCTAAATGTATATATGAATATTTAATATAAACATTATGTAAAAAGCAGCAAATACTCACATTCAAGGAGATGGAAGCATAGTTATAAGAATTGTTGATGATTTTTGCCCAGTTGATTTATTGACTAATTGTTTCGCTTTGATTATTTTATAGGGCCTTTCCAGTGATAAGAATGTAGACACTAAATCATCCATCTGTCTCTGGCTGTCTCTGTCTTTGCTCCTGTGCCCCATGTTGATATCTCATCAATGAGTTGATGAGTTGTCCCGAAAGTTGATGCATTTAACTTAAATTAAATTAAATATTGATTCAATTTGGCCAATCTATTCATAATCAGTCAGTAAATCGCTTAATCGATCAAGTGTAAATTAATCGGCAACCACTGAGATAATGGATCATTTGTTAAGGTGATTTGTAACATTCTCTGGTTTCAATGTGAAGATCTTTTGGTTTTAGAGCGTTACTCAGACAAAACATGACATTTGAAGATATTTCCTTTGGCTCTGGGAAATTGTTAGGGATGATTTTCTGATTTTTTAAGTATGCTAAACAATTATTCCTGAAAATAATGTGTGATTAATTCTCTTATTGTGTTATTATCTGCTGTTTTTGCATCCAGTTTGTTGAGAGGCAGTGATGGTAATCTTACATACATCTGTGGAAGAATGAATATTCTCAGAATTTACCAGCTAAGTTGACAAACAACAGTTTCTCAAAACCTTTGCATGTTCCCATAAACTGCTGCAAACTGTTGAACTCATTGTGAGAGCATCAGCTGAATGACTGTAAGGCAGATATTAATTGTAATATTTGCCTGTGTGTGTGTTTCTTTCCCCCTTCCTTGGGTTAACCATGTGGGTTTATCTTCCATCATAAGAGTATTTTTTTATGTGTGGTTATTTATGACATTTAAATACTGGCCTCCCTCAAAGGAGGTTTGAATGACAATCTGTCTGAAGATGCACAACCACGACCATCAGGGGTCAGATTGCATTTCATAGAACATAGAACAGGAGCAAAAAAACAAAAAACAAAAAAAAAAAACAAGAAATCCCAAGAGCTGCTGTTGTTCTAAAAAGATTAACATGGTATTTTCCATGTTCAACCGAAAAAGATTTTCTGAAGTGGACAAAAGGATGGATAAATTACACCCCTTGTTTTTCTGGTGGTTTTGTTAACATCGCATGTTCTCGCACTTCTCTGTTGAGAAGTCATTTTTACAAAGCGGCTGTACACTGGAAAGGCTCCTTCTCCCATTCAGCGATAATACTCGTATTACAGCATTTCATGGGGCATTTCACTGTTGTTATATTAATGGAGATATCAGCCGTCCTCTCAGAGGAAGTGGCCAAAGAAGGAGATTTGTGGGATTCAGAGATAAGACTAAACTCCCTCAACTTGTTGTCTTTGGATAAAGCTTTATCCGGAGTGTGTAAGGCAGTGCATATTGTGTTTGTGTGTGCGCATGGTTGCTGTTTAAGTTCATTACACTAAGTAATTTGTATGTATCTAAGGTTTTGGCATGCTTTGTGTGTGTGTGTGTGTGTGTGTGTGTGCGTGTGTGTGTGTGTGCCTTCATCTGCATGTTTTCTCCTCAAGTTTGTTGCCTTAAGCTTGTGTTTGTATCCAGGGTTCATGGTGTGTTTTGTGTGCTAATGTTTTGTGTGTGTGTGTGCATGCATGCGTGCGTGTGTGTGTGTGTGTGTGTGTGTGTGTAGCCAGACTGTGTGGATGCTGCATGTGTGTCAGACCTTCACTGGCTGTGCGTATAATGCTGTGGATTACCAGAAGACAGTGTTTTTGAAGGGATCATCAGTCTTTGTCGTCTCAAGGAGTCAAACCCCAGCAGAGGGGAGATTGTCAATAAAAATAACA